GCTTTTGAATTGATTTGTCAATCTCTGAACAAAATAATTACAAAGCATACTTTTAAATCACGCTGCTCAGTTCTAAGATGGTTGTCTAATATAAACAACAGCAGAAGGGAGGTCAACGAATACCATATGTGAAATATTATTTTGGATAAGATAGAAATATATTTTGTTCTTTTTGACTTCTCTTATCCTGTTTCTCAACCATCTACTATTTATGTTGAAGATACATTTCCTAAATTTAAGGAAAGGGAAGATTTTATTGAGTGACTTGTGAACATCCCAAATCTGAATGATAATCATTTTATAGCACAGAGCTGTCCATGTAAGGTGAACAAGAAACATGACTCATGATTCATTTAACTTCTGAACTTCAACCATATTTTAAAAATATTAGAATCCTACATCTGTGTTAGCTAATAGTTCTATTACTTCAACTCAAGTTCACCAAAGAATATGCAAGCTTTTTACCCTACATCAGAGAAGATGTTAAATAATTAAAAGGGAAAAAAAGGAAAAATACTTAAATAATTTTCAAGTTAGGGCTATATAATCTTTTTTTAATTAAGTTTTATTAATTTTCTACTATTACATTTATTTAGTGCTTAATAAACATCATGTTGTCTGCATTACTTTGTTCACTTAACAATGCAAATTATATTCATAATCTTTACCCCTTTTTTCCAGTCATTGGTAAAATAAATTCCATGTTTGATAGTATTCTGTATCTTCTTTCTGTTTGATCTTCAATGTAAGTTTGTCCATTTCTGCACAGTCCAATATCTTCTTAATTATCTCTTCATCTAGTGGTACTATTTCTTCATTTTTCCATTTCTTCATAAATGCTGAGCAATTACAATCCTCGCTGTTGTTAATATATGCAATATTAAATATACACTTTGTTTATCAAATTTTTCTGATACTATACCTAATTTAAAAAGTTCAGGTTTAAAATCTACATGTTTTCCTAACATCTTTTCTAACCACATGCATATTTTTCCCAAAAAATTTTTGCTTTAACACAAGTCCACCACAGATATGTGCAAGATTTTTGGTTACATTTTCAACATTTACTAGACATATTTTTGAACATTTGTTTGAACTATATAATCTTTAATCATTAGTAGACATGCACATTTGATTTTCTTCTATAAAGAATGGTAGATTCTTGTGGAGAGTCCTAAGATTGAAAAAACACTAGATAGTATTCTTAGTTAATTGTGTGTGATCAATACTTTTATGTAATGAGATATAGTAAAAGATCAGTTCTTCACATAAATTGGTAGGGTTGCAAATCTTTTGCCAGCTGCCCTGAAATGATGCTAAAATTAATATTCACAATGAGGGATGAAAAGAGCTAGTGTTTTATCTCAATTTAAAGTTATGTTCCTGATAAATTACTATGCCCAGCTTTCAAGTTAAGTTATCATATTGCTAGATTCCTAGAGCTGAATCCAACTCCTTTGAGTGGAGGAATCAAAATTGAAGGATGAAATATGAGGAATATATGAGGAACTAAGTATATGTAGTCTAATGAAGAAAAGGGTTAGGGATGATCTGATTGCTGTCTTTGAGGGTAGTCACAAGCAAGAGGGGGTTGACTTATTCTCCAAAGTACCTGAGGACAGGACACAAAGCAATGGTTCACTAAAGAGAGACCCAGTCAGGAACTAAGGAGAAGAATAACAACAATGAATCAATAGAATAACTTATCTCCCAGAGTTATGGGTGCACTACCGCAGGAGATCTTAACAGAAAAGATTGGACACCTATTTGTCTGGGATGCAATAAGGTCTTCTGTCTTGGCAGGAGGTTGGACTAGAAGACCCCCAAAGTCCCTTTTAGCCCTAGGATTCATGAAACATTCCAAACATAACATTATTTCATGTAAATATAGTCCAAGTGCATCTGGTTATACACAGTTCTGGACAGTGATGGGATTCAAATAATTTAACAACCGGTTCTCTGCCCTAATGATTTCTTCTAACAACCAGTTCACCAAACTGTTCAGAAAGTTAACAACCGGTTCTCCCAAAGTGGTGTGAACTGGCTGAATCCCACCACTGGTTCTGGATAAATATTCTAGCCTCCTAGATGAAATTTATGCCTTAAAAGCTTGTAGTATGTTTGGCTACCATCATACCCATGACTTTGCTAGATAGAGATGGTAAGAGTTGTGGGTCCTTATATCTATGTGTGAATGAAATAGGTTCTAAAGGAAAAAACATCTGTCTAGAGGCAGTACTTGTTATGCTCATTTTGATCAGCCCAGTATAAGATAGCAAGAACCTGTATTTATTAATTATTTACTCCATCTAAGGTGTATGTGGTATACCATATACATCATGTATAAAGCTTTCCTCCATTTCCTCTTCAATTCCATAAATATAAAATTGTTGTAAAGACATGACTTATGGCCTATTAAAGTCCAGCTTAGTTATCACTGAATCACTGAATGTGCAATAACAAATAAAAGTGTCAAATGTAAATTAAGTGGTTTTTTTGCTGAAAAGGACAAACTTTGTTTTTCTTTTTAAAAAGAAAACAACCCTTTGAAACACAGAAAAAAAATGGAGAACACAGTGAAGGAAAAATATTTAATAATGGGCTTTCATTATTTGCTCGATGGAGCTAATTTAGCATCCTAACCTGGTTTATGTAATCCAAAGTAAAGGAACATCTTTAAGTACATGCATACTGTCAGAAGGAACATCCAAAGGACACCAAGGATGGATTCTTCTAGGTGAATTTGAAAAGAAGTAGCATTACTTCTTTAGTATTATGATAACTTAACTTGAAAGCTAGGTATAGAAGTAGTATTAAGCTCCTACTTCTTCTTGAGAACTAATAAAAATCATTTAGAGGAGAATTGTGATTCTCTAACAGGAGAATTTAAAGGAAAGCATGGCCTTTGTTCAAGTATTTGCAGTTACATTTGACAGAATCCTTGGAATGGACAAAGTTTAGGCATACAGAATTTCTTACTTCATTTTCTGTTATTCAGCTCTTGAATATTCAGGTTCGTCACACCAAAACCTAATGCAAACCAAATCAAATATCACTACGAATTAAAGTGTTAGGAACCCAGAAAACTATTCTGAACTGCAAACTGAACTCAAGGAAGTCAAAATTCTTTCTTTAAAAAAACAAACAAACTGCGCTCAAAGATTCTTCCAGCAATACATTCCAGCTCTTTCTTCTTCTCCTAATTCTATTCTTGTTCAGTTTGAGAGTTTACAGTTGATCTACTGCAAATCACCTTGTAGTCAGCCAAGTTCTTTTTTTGTCTCTTCCAGCTTCACAATATATTCCAATACAGAACAAGAGGTAGGTGGCAACTGAAAAGTGTTCTAGGCAATAGATCTTGGCTAATAGATATATCTTGGCTAATAGCAAATAGGTGCTCTTAATCATAATGAGTACACAACTGAATTGCACTAACTACCTTATACAATTAGCTGTGATGGTAGCCAACATATTTTATGGACCCACTGCTGCAAATGATCTTCTCCCTTTGTCCTTTTTTATATATGTTTAAAAGAGACCGTTTGGTGCAGTGATTAAGGTGTTGGGCTAGAAACTAGGAAACAGTCAGTTGAGTGGCTGAGTGATCTTGGGCCAGTTACTCTGTCTCAGTCTTGGGAAGGAGGCAGTGGTAAACTCCTTCTGAAAACCTTTGCCAAGAAAACTTCAGGGATTACCGGTATTCCAGGCAGTCACCAGGAAGTGCACCCAGATTTGATCAGATTAAGTATAGCATCCTGTCTGTCTTGGTTGCAGACAATGGAATGGTTTTAGGAATGGATCCCACTAGTACGTTGACATTTTCCAAAATTAGTTTAAATGGAAACAACAAATGCTTTTTTATTAACTTCAACAGGATTTCATCTGATAGCAAACAGTTTAAGTTTCCAGTGAAACCTGAGCAACAAATTTGTGTTTAAATGTGTGAATGACAGAGGGAGAAAGAGCCTGCTTCCTCCTAGTTCTCTTCCTTCTCTTCCTGATCTATATAGTAGTGGCCAAAATTGTGGAAACCTTTTAGGAAAAGTGTATTTTTGAGGTTTCATGGCTAATAACACCACTTTTTTTTTTTTTGAGTTTCAAAATAATCATATTCCACTGCTGGAATGGCCTGGGAATAGCCCAGACCTTAATCCAATTGAAAATCTAGGGAGCTGACTAAAGAAACTTGTTAGTCAGAAGTGACCCAGCAATAAAACCCAGTTAATAGAAGCAGTCATTCAATCTTGGTTTCACATTATAACAGCTGTAGAACTTGGTTCACTCCATGGGAAGACGTTGTAAGGTCATAATTCATGCTAAAGGTTACCCAACTAAGTTTTAACTGACCTGATAATTTTTGTACATCTCATTTTTTCTACGTGTTTCAGTTTTCTTCTTTATACTGTAACTGCTATTCTAATAGCAAATCCTTCATAAAAGTTATTGCATTACATTCTTGATTAAGTTATCTTTCCATTGATATATAATTTTATGGTACTATCCCCCCCAAAAATGTGGTGTTATTACCTACTTTTAGAAAATACACTTTCCCCCAAAAGGTTTCCACAATTCTGGCCACTACTGCATGTACAAAACTTTCCACACTTTTTGTTGGGCAGAGCCCTGGACCAGGTTGAGACAATTTGCTGGGATAAGCATCCTGAATTAATTAGACCAAGAGTGGGATCCAAAAACTTGTAGACCCTCACAATTATTCACCCTCAGTCCTCATCCATCCTTCAGGGTTTCCACCAGAAGACCTTTAACTTAAGGGAAGGCGCCCCCTGCGCAAATTGCCAAGAAACCTTCGAGAGCTCGGAGAGCCAGGGGGAGGGAAGGAAGGTGCCGAGCGGGACGGAGGATGGTGAGGAGTGGGCTCGAGGAATGAGTCAGCTCCCCTCCCTGTCACTCCGCGGCTCCGGGGGGCGGAGGAAAAGAGAACTCCGCCGGTGAAGCTATAAAAGCGAAGGGGGCAGAAGGCGAGCAGAGGAGGCGGCTGCCGGGGACGGGAGGGCGGACTCCCCGCCTTAACAAGCCGAGCGCCCGATCTTCCGTCCCAAGCCTTTCATCTGCCTGCTGTCAGGATGCCCCGGACCAGCCAGCGGAAGGTGGAAGGCTGCCTGGATTCCTAGCCAGCGAGCTGTCAGCCGTCGCTCTCCAGGCCAGTCAGTCGTCGCCTCAGAGCGACGACTGTTTCTCCCAAGGCAAAAGGCGGCGTGGACGCGGGAACGGATCCAGGACTGTTTGTTTCCTGCCCTTAGACGTCCCAGCTGAGCTTCGCGGGCGGGAGGCTCCCTCCTCGGGGTTCAGCCACCGCCTCCCGGCCGGGGCCAGGTCTCCGTCTCCTTCCCTTCCTCCGCGACTGGACTCTCCTGCTGAGAAGGAGTGGGGGGCGCCCCACCATGCCGCCCCGAAGACCTTGAGTGGCAGCTCTCCCCTTTGGTGGAGCGGATCCGACGCCAGGGGTTGCTGGGGGGGTATTTTTTTGCAGCCACTGCGCCGCCCAGCCCAGCCCAGCCCCGGGAAGGAAGACGTCTAGGAAGAGGGTAGAGACGACCATGCAGAGCTGGACTAAGTTCTCCTCCCGCCCTCTCCTCTTCCTAGCCGCGCTCTTGGTGGTGGAAGGTTCCCAGCTCGACGGCACCAAGGCGAACGCGATCAAGGCCACCCTCATGGGCGAGACGCCGACCCAGGCGGCCAACAGGACGGCCACCTTCCACCAAGGACTCTCTCTGGGGAGCGGCAAGAAAGGCAAGCTCTTCGGCCAAGGTGGGAAAGGCCTCAAGCATTATCACCGGCAAGGCGAGGTAAGGTGCATCCGTGTCGCCCTTGGGCTTTTTTCCCCGCTCCTCTTGCTTCTTTCCAGACGGGGTCCCCTCGAGGACCGGATCCAAGGGCTCCACACCTTGGAGACGGGCAGTTAATCGCATCTGGATGGTTAATCGTGGAGAGGTGGCAAGAAGAAGAAGAAGGGAAGGTTAGACCGGCAAGATAGGGGTACCTCATCCAAGGTCCTCTCAAAGTAATGATGTCCTTCCTTCCTTCCTTCCTCTTCTTCTTCTTGCAGCTGCACTATCAATAACCTCGGATATTTATAAATTCCTCCAGAAGGTAATTGTAACCTGTTTGGTGATTTCAGATTTGCATCTCAGTCTCATTTGGAGATAGGGTTTAGTTCCTAATGATTTCTTGGACAGTAATAATAAAAGCAGCATGAATGGAAGATTGAAGACTCAAGTTTTTAGTATTCTGTGGGCACATTGTTTCAGCAGTAATTGACAATGATGATTGTATGATTATTATGACCACCAAAGGGTTGTTTTCGGTTTTTCCTGTGTGTTGGTACCATAAATGCACCAAGATTTAAAAGAAAGTGCAAAAATGGCAATGTTTCAAATGAAACCACAATGTGGAACAGCAGGTTAGCTCTGGGAACATCACAGCCAGGACTTTTCAATATAGTTTTTAAACTGGAGGGACGACGGGTGGTGTTAGAATACCTGATGTTATTCCCATTATGGATGAGTGTGGAAGTAGTAAATTTAAAATTAGAGACCAGTAAGACGTGTTCCCCAAGGAGTAGGACATTCCTCCCTTCCCATGAGGAATTATTAAATGGAGTGAGATGGAACTTTTTCAATCTCTTCCAGTAATGCTAGTTCCTAACCAGAATTTTAGCAATAGAACAGATGTAACTCCAGAGACCTGTGGCCAGATCTCCCCACAAAAACTTAGAGGCAGCTGTAAAAATGAGAAAGAGAAGAAAAGCATTTTCTATTGTTTTTCTTCTGTTGCTAGCCTGATTATAGAAATAAAAGTATGCACAATGTCATTTTCATAGGGTAGCCATATTCATCTCTTCCAACAAAGGGACGTGTGGCATTTTAAAGGCAAGACCTTTAAAATAGCATAAAATATTAACTGTGATCCGCTGACTTTATGGAATACGGAAGTCATTAATCCTCATGATGTCTCAATAATTTCTGCTGTTTCTTTAATACAGAAGATGTCCTGAAGATAGGAACCTTGGTTATAACTGTGCTGATAGATCTTGTAGCCTGAAACATCTGGAGAGCCATAGAAGTTCTTTTCCTTATGGCCCAACACTGTGCTAAATAGCTTTAATAGATTTTAAGGTTTTTTTAAAAGCAGGTTAAATTACATCTCCTTCAACTTGGTGCAGTCTGAGTTCAAAATCCCTCATTCCCCTGCATCTACTTTTTAAAAAAGTTTTGAGAAATATTGCACTATTTTACATTGTTCTTTTCTATACTTATAGTTTAGTGCCTCTGAGATAAGAAAGCAGAAAATAGAAAATGGTAACTTGATAACTTATTAAGTATGGTGGTCAGAAAACTGATAGAGGCAAAGAATGCTTTAAGATTAATTCCAAATCTTATATAGGTGAATAACTGTAAAGGTTACTTCAAGGTCACAAAATAGGCACATAAGTCACAAATTGTCATAGAATCTTTCCCTTTCTGCCTTCTTTTTTCCCCTTCTTTTCTTCTTTTGGGCTTCTCAGAAGTTGGTTAGAACCATTGCATCCTTAATTATCTTGATCTGAAGAATTCTGATTTCATAGGCTGTAAAAAGTTATCTTATGCCTCTTTTTCTTTATTTTGAAAGAGCGTGGAAATCCTGCATGATTGACAGTATTGAGTCACAAGTTTTCTGAACAACCAAAAACCTCAAAGAGCCTAGAATCAGTCAGTGCTCCAAAGGTATCAATTCTGTTCTTAAAAGACATCTTTCAGAAGTTGATATGGGATAAGATCTTCATTTAAATTTTTTTTAAAAATCTAAATAATAGATTCTTAGATGTATTTTAAAGTCTGTTGTGAAGCAAACATTTTCCAGTGTAGTTCTCTGGAAGAGGCATTGCATCCATCAACTGCTTCATTTTTGGATCATTTCCCAGTCAGTTGATCTCAAATCCATTCACTAAATGAAAAGACATTCCTTGACTTCCTGCAAAGATAGAGTAACTGATGTCTGTTTTAATAGGAAGCTATCCAATATATATACATTCAAAATGCGGTTCCCATTAGCAAGGTAAACAGCATAGAGTCCTCAAGCAAGGAAATGCAGAATTCTTCATTTTGAATATTCAGTTTGAATACAGGTAGCATTAACCTGAAGATTTATAGTGGTGATAAAGTATCAAGAGTCAGGATTTTTTTCCCCCATTCTCACAACTAAAGGATTGCTAGAAATTAGAGTAGAATAATTTACAACTGAAAACAGCAATCAGTGGAATGACTGTGGTCTGCGTTTTGCTATCGTTTATTCATTCTGTAATCTTTAATTTAGGGATGCGGTGGCTCAGTGGCTAAGATGCTGAGCTTGTCAGTCAAAGGGTCAGCGGTTTGAATCCCTAGTGCCGCGTAACGGGGTGAGCTCCCGTTACTTGTCCCAGCTTCTGCCAACCTAGCAGTTTGAAAGCATGTAAAAAATGCTTTGTGGGAAGGTAACAGTGTTCCATGCGCCTTTGGCATTTAGTCATGCCGGGCACATGACCACCGAGACAGCGCTGGCTCTTTGGCTTTGAAATGGAGATGAGCACCACCCCCTAGAGTCAGGAACGACTAGCACATCGAGGGGAACTAGTGCGAGGGGAACCTTTACCTTTACCTTTTACCTAATCTTTATATGCCGGAGAAGGGCGGCATATAAATCAAATCTAAAAAAAAAAAAAAAACTTGTATTATTATGAAAAAACTATAACCCATTTATATTGTATAGGCATGGTTTTTAATAAAACCTAGGTTTAATTTTCTGCAATGAAAAAGGAACTTATTTGTTTGCTAGTTAAATGATGGTGGCTTTCCCAAAGGTGCTTTTTCAAAAGGCATCTGGAATGTCTTTGTTTTGCTTGAAGATGTTTCGCTTCTTACCCAAGAAGCTTCTTCAGCTGAACAGAAGTTGAACTGAACCGAACTGAAGAAGCTTCTTGGATGACAAGTAAAACATGTTCAAGCAAAACAAAGAAAGTCCAGTTGCCTTTTGAAAAAGCACCTTTGGGACAACCATGACTGGGATGACTGAGAATATCCATAGACATCATAATGGCTTTATTTATTTTTTCTCCTTCTCCCATCACAAATCCATGTCTTATACCATGCTGCCCTATGAGGTTGAAGCAAACACTGTTATAGTCAGCAAAATAAGTTGCCTTAGTCAGCTCATCTTAGACCATAGTCCATCTATTTAATTTAATTTAATTTAATTTAATTTAATTTCTAATTTATATACCGCCCTTCTCCCTGACGACTCAGGGTGGTGTACAGTCAAGATAAGAACATAGAATACAAATATTAAAAACAGTTAAAATATATATATAAATTTGGCCCGAATGTTAAGAAATCACAAACTGATTAAAAGAATTTTATAAATTTCTTCTTAAGCCAGCCCGGCTTGCTGGAAAAGATGGGTTTTGAGGGCACGATGGAAGGCATTGAGGTCATGGATTCTCCTTATCTCAGGGGGCAACTGATTCCAGAGGGTAGGAGCCCCCACAGAGAAGGCCCTCTCCCTGGGGGTCACCAGCCTACATTAGTCTACATCTAGACTAATAGCATCTAGTAACACCCGGTGCACAACCATGTTCTAAGTGGAAATGTTATTCATTAGTAAATCTGTCTCTTCTGTTTTGCCTTCTAAGTGTGGCTTATATCAAGCCACACTTAGAAGTTCTTAGAAAGTTACTGGAACCTGCATCTCCTTGCAATCTCCTCTAATATGTCAGTCTTTGCTTCCTAATAAGCATTGGACTTTTTCTAACTTCTGATGTCTATATGGTAAAGATTATAAACCTTTTGGGCATGTTAAACACCATCTTTTGTACTGTATGTTCTGTACACAATGTACTCAGCGCTAATTATCTTGTCATGATTAGAAAACTGTCCCGTTTCCACTCAGAGACAATGGACTTTTCTCTGTGCACTAAGAAAAAAGGAATAATTGCTCTGTACTTTCTCCTACCCACAAAAAGGCAAATGATTATCCCCCTTTCTCTTCTTCCATGAAGCATATTTTCCTGTACAGGGGAATGCTTCATCCTACTTCCTTTTGAAGGGAATAGAATGGTCCATGTGGGATGTGACAAGGAATCATTGCTCATTAATTCCTCTTATTCGGAGTGATTTCTGGTTGAGAGACTGTAGTATGGACAGGAAAGACCTCTGCCAAAATGCTATGGGCCAGTTGGGGAGCACTCCACAGGATGCATCTCAACCAAAAACTTTCTAAATTCTGTTTTAAAGTTTGCAGTTCAGAGAGAAAGCAACATAGCAAATGACTTCTTTTTATGCCTCCCACTGTCCATATTGCTGCGTATGTGCTTGCGATTTGTGTGTGCACACACCAAGTGTCAAAAGTTCCATGAAAAATATCCAGTATTAAGTTATGTTTTGCACAACTTGACCAAGTTCTGTAACAGTACTTGAAAACTTTGTGCTCCAGAGAGATGACAAGAGTTCTGCATCTGAATAATAGTTATTTTTTTAAAAACACGGAATTTTATGTTGGAGTGAAGATAAAACAAATAGGCATTAAAAAGATGGGAAAATGAAAAAAATAACTGACCATTATTAAGAGATATTTCAAGTATTTCTCTGGCTGCCTTTAACTCTTAGGAATTATATTTCTTTACTCAGAACAAAACCATCTAGTCCATCAGGAGGATTGTAGAAAAATGTGCTTTTTGAGAGAAATTGATTGTTTAAATTATGTAGCTGAGTTATTGTTCATAAATAGTTATTGTTATTAACAGTTTGTGAACAGTTATTTATGAATTGTTCATAAA